GTTTACACCCCTTGGCCAAGGGATCACTCTCTCCCATATTCATCATTCATCACAGAAAATTCGTCCATACTCACCCTAGGCAGCAAAACACCCCAAAAACACCATTCTAGTGCCCAGAAAACATAACAGCCACTCCACCTTCTTCCACCCTCTTTGCCGAGTTCTCTACCATCCTCCAACCATCAAACACTCCTCCACACTCACCCTAAACCTCTCCATACCATTCCCCATCCATTCTACACCATAAAACTACCCAAAACATCTTCACAACCCAATCTGCCGCAAGCAAGGAAGGGGACAGATTCACTACGATTGTTTGGCTCTTCATTTTGAGTTGTTGAACGATTTTAGGTGTTTTCTATATTATATTTTAATGTCTAATTCATATAATCTTTGTTTTGCTTTAAGTATGATTGGCTAATTTCGTTTTTGGCTAAGGGTGTATTCAAAACCATGATTATATATGTGAAATGAGTTGATTACTTCCAGTTATTGTTACATAAGTCGTGAATACAATTTGCTTAACCATTTGATTTAGAACTTATTCTTGTATGTTGATTGAGAGTGCACGCTTAATTTGCATGCTTGAATTTGGTGCTAGGATATAAGTTTGTTTCACCTAATTGTTATGAATTTATATTCACAAGTAGTGAAGGTCGCTAGTCACGATCGTGTTAAGTAGATTCCTGGCAAGAGTATCATGCTTTTCATAGTTACAAATGCCTTGTCGATGCTTATGATTTCCAAAGAACGTAATGATTCTAACTTGTGTCTTTATGCTGTTCATATAGAGAACTTGTTAGGAATAATTTGTTTGCGATGCATATTCATCCAATTCAATGATCCTAGGGAAATCTGAAGGTTAATTTAAGCGGACCTAATTAACTTGGAGTGTCGAGGTTCATAACTTATTGAATTGATAACTGGAAATTGATTTACGTTGCATATATTTCATGTGTGGAGAAGAACCCCTTAGCTATTCCATCATCCATTGATTCATCAAAATTTTATCTTACAATCTGTTTCTTACAATCTGCCCATTAAAATTAGTTTCGTCCAAACACAATTCCCCCATATTTTGTTAAGTCTTAGTCATTCAATTCTGTTTTATTGTGTGTTATTAAGCATTTGGAGTCATAAACACTTTGGATTTCGTCCAAATCAAGTTCGAGTTTCTTTTTGAGTCAATTTGATTGTTTTAGGCAGGTTTGAGTGCTTCAAAACTGTTTTGAGTTATAGTAGTCTTGTTAGAGTCTTTAAGTTTAGTTTCTGTGTTTTTGAATCAATTTATATTAGATTAGCACCCCTAGTTAATCCCCGGTTAGAACGATCCCTACTTACATCATTACTACAATTGTCACAAATAGGGTTTAATTTGTGTTTTTAGTTATTTTACGCACCAGCAGAGCTTTCGTATTGACGAGGATTTCTGACAAAATTTTGTTGTGGGAATTCTACCTATGGTATAATTCTCAGCCTACTTTACTGTACTTTACTTATGCTCTAACATCACGTGTGAAACGGGTTCATTCCTGCTCACAAGCGCATTCTTGTATTTAGGCATTTTTAAGTTTAAATTTATTCACATTTTCCACATCACTACACTTTATGGCTTCGTCACCCTCCGAGTGTCGGCCAACACAACTCGATTCGGAGTCCAAGTGAACATTCCGGGTCGGGATGTGTCATGATTATTCATTAAATTCAAGTTTTGTACATCTTCATAACAATTCTAGTGAAAAAATATATATATTAATTTAACATAAATAAATATTTATGTTATATTAAATATTAACTAATTTAAGGAATATATATTTAACTGACCCTCTTCCCAGCCTGATGGTGAAGTGCTTGTGCATGAGACCTCTTGGTCTTCGGTTTAAAGGCGGTGTGCTTCTGCTGTTGCCATTGAATGTGATTAACAAAACATAAAAATTTAAATAATCCGAAAGGATTGGTATAAAAAAATTTGAAAATAATATAACATAATCCGACAACATTAGCTACTTAGGTCGGATGTACCCGCCAAAATTCGTTAAATGTTTTTAAAAATAAATCTGGTGGAGTTAAGTGCCCGCTTCATTATTCCTATCGAAAAGTAGTGAATTAATGTCGGATATAGCTGACACTTATTGCTGATGTCTAATATAAGCTACAACAGTGCTTTGTTATCCGATCACTATTTAAATATGTTGTCGGAAATATTTTATCCGACAGTAATCAATATAAAACCGCTACCACTCTCCAACACATTAAACCAATTTGTAGTAGTCACATATTCGTACGTAGCCAGACCAAAAAACTACAGAAAACATCTAAATAATGTCCATTCTTTCATCCTAACTTAGGCCCAACATTAAACTGAAGAAAGGTGCTTTCAGTATTCAGGAACGGATAAATTTAAATTTGCAGAAACTAAAAAAATGAAATGCTCATCCATCTCAGCGGTCAAATTTCAGGTTACTTTCCCGCTATTTTCTTTACAAACTGTTAACGTAACTTTGAGGGATCAAACTTTTTTCGTCAATTGGATTGAATTGCAGTTTCAATCCTACGACGTTACAGACAGAAACAATACTAAATATTAAAAGAGAAATTATGATGCAATCCCCAACCACCAATATCCTTTCATTGAAATCCTATTGATTTTAAATTTTTTATCAAAATCCTACCACTTTATACACATCAACATATTTACATTTAAAACTTTATGCCACCCATAAATGTAATTAATTCATTACATTCCAAAATTTCATAACATTAGTTAAAACTAATCAATTCCTACATTATAGGCAAAACAAAATATGTTTTGGTAGATAGCTTTTTATTTGGTTTATATCTTTGTTTGGATTCCAAGTTATTTATTTAACGGGTACATGTGAATTTAAATGTACCCATTTGATGCATTTGGGATATTTGCACCTGTTCATGGCGGGAATTTCCGTGGGGAATGCTTCCTGGTCGACGAGCACACAGCTCCCCGAGAGGTTGGCGCCGGTTGATGCTTTCTGTCGGGCTTCTGCTTTACTGGCGGGCTTCTCGGGCAAGGCTGAAAGAGAAGGACAGAGTTAACTTTGAAAGGTGCCTTTGTGAGGCCTTAGGTGTAGGCCTTGAGGCTCACAATCAAGATTAACTTTTAAGTGCTCAGGCGTGCCACTGCCATCTTCAACATGGCAGATGTAGAACGGATGTTTGAGTTTAATTATATATATTCGAGAGATTATGTTAGTTATTGACAGGTGCCTTTGTGGGGCCTTAGGTGTAGGCCTTGAGGCTTCCCATCAGTAACTAACTTAGTACTCGAACACATAAGGTTCCTTTTCTTGGTTATATAGGTCTTATAACTATCATACTTCTGATTACCTGAGCTCAAAGAGCAGAATGAATCCAAATAGGTGCCTTTGTGGGGCCTTGAATAGGCCTTGAGGCTTCCTATCAGAACCCCTTCTATACTCAATGTTCTTGCTCGAGAAATAGGATGAATCCAAATAGGTGCCTTTGTGGGGCCTTGAATAGGCCTTGAGGCTTCCCATCAGAATTCATCCCGTCCCCGAACGTTATATGCTAATCATAATATAACAGCAATAAAACTAAGTGACAGGTCGATTACTTGCGCCCCAAGTAACTTCGGACTTCTTGTTATCAAAGCTTGTAATGGTTGGGTTAAGTCCACATCAGGTTCTTTTTTATGCCTTGAGGTCAAGGACTTTTAGGGTGATCAAATCTTATATGCCCGAGGGCTTAGAACTTAGATCTGGCTTGAACGGTTAAGACATATTCAAATCGGATTCAAGTGCTGAGAGAATCTTTTAATAGCCATATTACTAGAAATAACTTGGATACAACTTGTAGTATACAACATATTGCTAGGCTAATGAATGAAAAGACAAAAACAAAGAGGGTCGGGCAAGGTTTAACCTTGTCGGGCAAGGCTGATCGTCTTGCAACTTTCTATCTTTGTGTTTTATCAAGAGGTTTGAAAGCTTAGAAAAAGGATTGGGAGGTGAGTTTACAGAAGAAATCGATACTACAGCAAGAGTTGAACAGGGTAGCAGAGCTATTATAAAGGGTTTATCCCGAAAGGGATGAAGGCTTGGGCTGACTACAGCTTCGTTTTGAAGGCAAATCTGGCTTTGAGCAGAGTTTGTGCTTGTATTTGTTTGTTTGAGTGTCCTTGATTCTGACTTCTCTTTCTCCTTTTATAGACACCTTGGCTCTGCCTCCTGTAGCAATAATCTTGCCCGAATGTAGTTTGAAGGATAGTGACTCATCAGCTATTTACTTGTACTGCCATTTAAAAGTACTTTTTGGGCTGATTAGCTGGCTGGTCTATACCACTTGGCCATTGGTTAGGTGAGCAAGTAGTCTGCATGGCCTGCACATAGTCAGAAACGGGCTTCTCCTGTCTTCTGGACTTCGGCTGGGTTTTGACTGGCCTTGATTGGGCTTCTTCCTTTTAGGCTGCTCTTTGGGCCAACTTCCCTTGAGCCCAAAGTTTAAGTTTTGATCCAAACAGTGCCCCCTTCAATTGATATTTAGCTTGGAATTCCAAGCGCCAATATTAATTGAAAAGCTGCATGCGTCTGCACCCTTGCTCTTGGAACTTGTATCTTCTGGTGGAGATTAACGCCACCCGAAGTCTCTCGATCTTCCCACGACCTTTGAACTACCTTCTGACATTCCTATAAATTCTGGTTCTCCCCACAAATCATCTTCGATCTCATCTTTAATCCGCCCCAGGTGTTTCTGCTTCCTTAGTTTTCTTCCAAAACTGTGAAATGAGTTCTTCAGAGTTTAAGTGGGGTTTCTTAAAACTCCCTTTTCGTGAGAAAAAGAGTTCTTATCAGATAACTACTATTCTAACACCTTTGGTCAAACACCCCGCTATCTCCAACACCCTTGGTCAGGCGGTTTCCTCACGAAGGCTTGCCTTCCTGCTTGTTGTCGTGATAAATCAGGCTTCACCATCACACGTGGTGGTAACTCTGCCTGAGGATCCCCTACCAGGCGCGTCTTGGCCGCACAACCTGATCACCTGATCGGGTCCTATCCAGGAAGACATCGGAAAACCAACTGAAAATAACATTGTATCCAGAAGGAATCAAATGTAGTACTTCGGCCTTGGATCTGTTTGTAAATATCACCAATTTGTCGAAATGAAATAAACATTATCTTAGCAACTTTTTGTTTTTCTGTCTTCTTTTGAATGGTTGGTGATCATACACTGCACCTTGATATCCTGAAGTCTGCTTTACCTTGCATCCTCTTCAATGTAACAATCTCTAACATCCCATAATGTAAGACAATATTTTTTCAAGAATTTAACATTAATGGGATGTTTACCCCTTCCCTTCAAGGTCTGCCAAGTAGTATCCTCCCTTGTCCAATACTTGACTAACAATGAAATGACCTTCCCATGTCGGGCTCCACTTTCCAAAGCCCCTAAGCTGAGCTCCTGGAGGGAGGACTGTCTTCCATACTAAATCTCTCTCCTTGAAAGACTTCATCTTCACCTTTTTATTATAAGCTTGGGCAACAGCTTTCTTTCCTTCTTGAATCTAATTCAAGGCTTCAATTGGAGCTACGTCTAAGTCTTCAATTCCTTGACACATGGCTTCGACGTACTCTTCACTGTGTAACCCGAACTGATTTTGAATTCTGACAGAACTTACATTGATCTCCATGGGAAACACTGCATCTTGCCCGAAGGTTAAAGCATAAGGAGTTGTGCCTGTTCCTGCCCTCTTGGAAGTTCTGTATGCCTACAAAGTGTTTCCCAGCTTTTCATGCCACTTCTCCGGACTGTCCATCACCATTCTTTTGATAATGTTTACCAAAATCTTGTTGCTGGATTCTGCTTGGCCATTTGATTGTGGGTAGTAAAGACTGGATTGGATCATCTTTATTTTGTATTTGTTTGCAAACTCCTCAACTTCTTTTGAAATAAAAGATGGCCCATGATCCGTTACTATAGTTTCGGGCACTCCAAACCTATACAGAATCTTGGTCTCAATGAAATTCTTGACTGTGGCTGAGGTTATGGACTTCACTGCCCGATGAAGTCAATCGCCCAACCTCGGAAGGGCCAAGGCTTAACCACTAGATTCAAAGGTACTGAGGGCACATGTTGGAGAGGTCCGTGCCTTTGACACTCTTCACAGCCTCGGGCATAGGATTTGCAATCCTTTTCCATGTCGGGCCAGAAATATCCATACCTTCTGAGCAACCACCTCATCTTTGTTCCGGCCTGATGTGCTCCACATACTCCCTCATGTACTTCAGCCATTACTCTCATAGACTTTTCTTGGCTTAAGCATTTCAGTAGTAACTCGTCTGGAGTCTTTCTTAGCAGGTCTTTTGCCCATAAGACATACTTGGTTGCTTGCCGTCTATTCCTCTTGCTTGTGGGCGAAGAAGGATCTTTCAAATGATGGATGATAGGTGACCTCCAATCTTTTACCTTGGTCTCTAGAACCATTATATCCAGACCGAATCCCCTTTCTAGGATAGAAGGAAGGTTTCTCCTTTGAATCTCAACATCCAACTCATATCTTCTCTCCTGTACTGGTATGCCTGAGGCCAATTGCGCCATCTCATTGGCTGCTAGGTTGGCTCCCCTGGGAACATGACTCATCGATATCTCAGAATCCCAATAACTCAGCAATTGCATGGCCGCCAAATAATATCCGGCCATGGTGATATGTTTACACTTGAACTCCCTATTTAGCTGGTTTATTACCAATTCTGAATCACCAAACACCTCAACTTCCATTGCCCCCAGATCCATCAAGATTTCCAAACCAATTATTAAGGCCTCATACTCTGCCCGATTGTTGGTATTACCTTAATAATCCAAGAGAAATGAGTAATAATGATAAATCCCTTGAGGGTTGATAATCACAATCCCAGCTCCTGAAGCCTTCTGAGTATAAGAACCATCGAAATACAGCTTCCAATGAGTAATCCATAAACCAGCCACTCTTCTTATCTCCTGCTGGATCCACTCCTCTTTGCCCGAGATCCCTTTGCCTGGCGGGATCCAAACATTAGTAACTTCCAGGGTTCCTGGTATATTGATTATCTCATCTCGAGATTCTTGATGCTCTGCCAAAAAGTCAGCAATTGCTTAGCCTTTTACTGCCCTTTGGGGGACATACTGGAAGCTGAATTCTGATAATGCTATAATCCACTTCCCAATCCTTCCTGTTAACATTGGCTTTGACAACATGTACTTTATCACATCTGTCTTGGTGATGATGTGTACGTGACAAGGTAACATGTAATGCCTCAGCTTATTGGCAGTAAAATACAGAGTTAAGCACAATCTATCTACTAGGGAAAACCTTGTTTCTACCTCGGTCAAAATTCTACTGAGGTAGTACACTGCCTGCTCTTTCCTGCCTTCATTATTCTAAGCTAGCAAACTCCCAATTGATTTATCTGAAGCGCAGATATATAGCTTTAAGGGTTTTCCCCTCTGAGATGGTACCAATACTGGCGGAGAAGTCAAATAAGCTTTGATACCATCGAAGGCTTCTTGGTGCGATGGTCCCCACTCGAAATTCTCCTTATCCTTCAGTCTTAATAAAGGAGTCAGCGGCTGGATCTTGCCTGCTAGGTTGGCAATGAATCTTCTTAAAATGGGTACAATGTTGGCTAACCACTCCACATATTTGGCTGGCCTGATAAATCCGGTTTTTACGAGCCTCTCAATCTCTTCTTTGACCTTCTCTTCTATCTTCTTCGACATCCTTCGTGGTGCTTGCTTAACCGGCTTATATCCTTCCTTGATGGGCATTCTATGTTCCACCAAGGTTGCATCTAAACCCGGCATCTCAGTGTAATGCCAAGCAAAACAATCTCTGAATTCTTGCAAGAAACAGATCATTTGTGCCCGATCCTCTTTCTCCAATAAACCACTGATTTGTATTGGTCTTGGGTCCTCCTTTGTTCCTAGCTCAATAACTTCCAAAGGATCTTGGAACTCCGGTGGTGGCTTATCAGGTTCTGCACACAAAAATTCGACTAGCTCCAGGCTCTCGGGCAAGTCATCTGGCTCATCTAGGTCATATATACACTCGGCCATTTGAATGGCCCTTTCCAATTCTTCTTGACAAGATTCCTCGTTGTTTTCATCCTGGCTGGTTGAAGCTCTCACCTGCCATTCCTGCTCTTCTCTGTCTAAGAGCTCATTTTCTTGTCTTCTCCCTTTCCCATACACCAACAATCGTTTAATCAGGGATCTGACTGCCATTACCTGATCTTTCCTTTTTTGTTCTATCATTGATAGTGTAGGGGTGTTGGGATGATATAAGGTCTGTCCCACTCCTCTTTAGTAAGGAGAATCCCTTGTTCTAGGAGCTTTTGGGCCGTCACCTTGGTAGGGAAGCCGTTCTCATCTGCTCCCAAACACTTCAAGATTCCTACATTGGGATTGTAGAAACTTGCTTCCGCTATATTGGTTGTGGGAAGAAATGGCCGTGATTCGGCCTCTACCATCTCCCAAAAGCCTGGTCCTTCCGCGCTTGCCCTATGATACACAGCCACTTGTTTATATGAAAGTTGCTAGGCTCTGGCAGTTCCTCTTTTTTGCTCCCAATCTGGTCCATGAACTCATCCAACCATGCCATAGCATCTGGTGGAAGCAGTGGTTCTGGTGCCCCTTCTAATTGATTCACACCTGGACATGGTGTTTGTTTTGGAACTTCCCCGAATGGATCCTCTAATGAGAGAGAACGTTGTTTTTTCTCAGGGGAGACAGTTCCAAAGCAAATAGGCTGCTCTGCCTTCCATCCGGGAGTTGGCACCATAACCATATCTTCTTGAGCTCTTCTCAAGATTCTATATTTCCCAGGGTGTAGGCTTTGTGGCACATGATTTCCTTCGCCTTCAATCTTGCTGTTAGCCTTTTCCACCTCCTTCTTACTTCTCTAGCGGAGCTGACTGCTCCCCCCAGACGACGTTTTCTCTAACTTTTGATTTTTGGAAGCTTCCGACGTCGCTGGGGTTTTCAAGGAATTCATGTAGGCTTTATGTTGCCTCTGAACCCTTCTGACCATGGAGGCTTCCATTTGCTTAACGGGCTGTCCATTCTTCCCGACCACATACCATTTTCGCCTGAGGCAGGCAGGATTATCTTTTGTGATAGGGTTTGTTATCCTGTCATTCCTCCTGACCTCTCTTCCCATATGGCCATACTGAGAGTGCCCTACACTTCTCTCTTTTGGCTTCTTGGCATCTTTATCCTCTGATTCCTCAGAAACTTCATGGTTACGAAATATTTCTGATAAAGCCCTTGGTTGGGAATCGCCTCCTAGCCGCTGAAAGACACTTCGGGAGGTATCCCTTCCTGCAGTCCGCCGAGTCTTCTCTTGTGCCTCTTTTCTCTTTTGTTCTTCATTCCTTCTGATCAGTTCATGATCTATGAAGGCTCATGTGGGCGGTATTTCGAGTTCACACTCGCATTGGCACTTACTGCACAGCACCCTTCCTTTGAATATGGCGGCTCTTGGACATTCAGGCAAGTTAACCACCCCTTTTATGGGTTTGTCAACCAGCCATCTTTCTTCTTCTCTTGTGAGCTTCTCTTTCCCCTTCTCCGCCCAGGCCATACTGATCATATTTATAGGGGCCTCTGAGAAGGGATCCGTATGTTTATCCGTCACCGCAGCTTCTTCTAGTTGATTGGTTTTAAGCCCCCTCTTCTCCCTATCATTTTTCTCCCCAAGATGAGGTAAAGACATAGGAATAGGTGGTCTTAGAACCGGGTCATCTTCTTTTCTGGAGCCTGCTGAGGTGTTCTCTAGTCTTTGTAGTATGTGCAACAAAGCAGTTTGGAAATCTTCTGATTCTTTTGACATATTGCTTTGATCAAACGTCCCACCGAGCGTGCCAAAACTATGTTCGTGTCCTTGATTCTGACTTCTCTTTCTCCTTTTATAAACACCTTGGCTTGGCCTCTTGTAGCAATAATCTTGCCCGAATGTAGTTTGAAGGATAGTGACTCATCAGCTATTTACTTGTACTGCCATTTAAAAGTACTTTTGGGCTGATTAGCTGGCTGGTCTATACCACTTGGCCATTGGGTAGGTGAGCAAGTAGTCTGGATGGCTTGCACCTAGTCCGAAACGGGCTTCTCCTGTCTTCTGGACTTTGGCTGGGTTTTGACTGGCCTTGACTGGGCTTCTACCTTTTAGGCTGCTCTTTGGGCCAACTTCCCCCGAGCCCAAAGTTTAAGTTTTGATCCAAACAGCACCCATAAACATGTTATGGTTTTTCTTGACTTGTTACATATACAATTTTTATAAAATGTATATTTGAGCTCCACATTACAATTGGTACATTCTTTCTCACACTTCATTTGCTGGGGTACAAATATAGTGGGTACATATAAATATGAGATAATATTATAGATGGGTACAAAGATGAACACACAAGGCATGTTTAATTTGCACTTTGCGGGTACAACGATTTTGGACTATGCAACTTTTGGATTGCTTGGATGATTTTATAGAAGAAAATTGTGTGTGGGTTCTAGTTGGCCAAGTTATACCCACCATTAAGCAATGCAAATTATTTCAAATTTGAAAATCAAATTAAACTGATATTTGGTGTGCCTGATATCACTAATATGTGTTTTGAATTTGGGATAATTTGGAGGTTAATTAGATTGGATAATCTAGAGGTCTTAGTGGCAAGGTTAATAATTTAAGGTGCATATATGTTTATTGTTAAGATGAGTTAGCACAAAGTAATTTATCACAATGTAATAAATGGAGAACTTGAATCAAAGTTTTTAAACTAATAAGGTTTGAGTCTATAATATATGATAGAGAAGGACTAGAAACTAAGTGTCCCTAAGTTAAAATTAAGAACATACAGAATTATACGAGGGAAGAACTCTTCAACAAATGAAGAGAAAAACCTAAAAACAATCAACAAGACAGACCTACTACACTTTAAGTTCTCTTTTATACTTTTGTTCTTTAAGCACGATGTCCTTTCTTTGCCTTTTTCTACGAACAAAGTTGACTCATATGATCTTCCTCACACGCAAAGGATGCACACAACTTTGTTTCACCCTGATGAATGATATGATATGATGATTGTTAGATTTCTAAAGCCTCGCAAAGATTGCTTTCAAAATCTAACCCTAGAAGAAAACACACTTTGTTTTTGTCAAAGGTTTACTTTATTTATAAAACAACATATTACATCAGAAAAGGCCCAAATACGATAAACATATAAACAAAAACGTGGACCTCCATGGTAACACAACAACCCAAAACAAAAAGAACACTAAAGCAAACCGTAGTAGATTCCTATCGCTGCCGCTGCCAACCCACTTGCCGAACGAAAATCCCCTGTACATATCTGAAGTCAAACTAACCAGAGCCCCAAAGCTAGATGAAAACTGAACCACAATAGGACCCCAAAATAGAGCCCCAGACTCCTCCACTAAGCACCACAACGATAGCCGCCACAAATTGAAGGAAGCTAGCAAGAAGAAGAAACCCACTAGCATCGGTACCAACAAAGGCAAACCAAAGGAATGAGGTGGGGTGAACACTCGAGCCAAAACTCTACATACGTTCCAGGAGAAGCGCGATAAATCGTTGTGAAAAAAGGTGGGAGCCGATCTGGATTGCAGAGACGATGAAGGATAAGGTCGATCCAAATTGAGGAACATGGGAGAAACAGGGGGAAAAGGTGGGAAAAGTGGAATGAAGATGAAAGGAAACAAGGGGAAAAAGTGGAAGGAAGGGAGAAACG